AATTTCATATATAAAGATGCACAATATATTCTGCTCGTCTTAAAAACATTCTAAACTTTATCGAAATTTATAACTAAACTTTAAACTTTCCTTTTTTAAAATTTATTAAATAAATCTTGTATTGTGTTATAAATTATTCATGTAGCACGTTTTTCTAGCCACATAATTTTTCAAAATGTCTTCCGTATATAAACATCCAATAAATACTTTATAAAACTAATCGAAATATTAATATATACCTATATTAACTTCCTCACATTAATGTTCCAGAGAGGTAGCTTGTGAGAAAACAGAATCGAAAAAATGCCGAGAATCATTTCCGCTCAATGACAGAGATGCATATTCGATCAGCGCGGCGAGGAAAAGAGACGGATAAGAATCGATCACGTAATAAACCCGAAGAAAGAAGTCCGCGGTACCAAGGCGAGTTTGACCTTCACCCGATCTACGTGGTCCCGCCTACTTTTCTTCTTTTGCTTCTCGGTGGGCCCCACGAGACACGTCCCGAGCCTGTTTCACGGTGCCCCTCGCATAATAGCACGAGCGTGGCTTCCGTTGATATTCGATAACCGGCCGGCTTTAATGCCGCAGTTCTACGATTAGGTCTTAACCGAGATTGCGACGGTTGAACATCAGACTTACTAGTTTTCTGACTAATAATACAAACTTTTTGCGAAGGTCTCAACTGTGAACGAGAAAACTGTCACTATGCATGCGTGTCGTTCAGATTTCAGATTAGTGTAAGATGAAAATTGAAGAAATGGATGAAATAATGGACTATTTAAACGCCAATCAATTCCACCTCTCTGTTTATCTGTTGAAAGTTTTCGTCGTGTAAATATATATATATAGAGGAAAGTCACCGATACTGATAGATCTCCTAAAGCGATATCTCCTTATTTCTTAGAAACTAACCTTTGCACCTTACTAATACTAATAAAAACGTGATTTGTTTAGCTAATTAAAGAAGTACAAACTCATAATTCATATATTTGTGGCTTATTTCTATACCAAATCAGCTAAAAACAAATTCTATGAATCCGAGAAGAAAATTCTTACGGTGTTCTTTTGTAAATTGCGTAATTAAAATAATAGTGACTGTATTATTGATAATATTATGTCATTTTAAATGTTTATAGTTTCATAAATTAGTTTTCTTTACAGAATATAGGATATATCTTTATTTATAGAATAGGAATGTTGGCATTATTGCCTACTATGTCAGTTTTGGAGCTCATTTTGTCAGACGCTCATTTTTGCATAACTTACGAAAAACTTAATTATTACAAATTTGTAAACAGTATTATAAAAACTGCTTATACTATCTGATAGAAGACACTTTCTAGTTTGTATTTATGTTTTTGAAGTTGTATTTTTACCTTTTGTTTAAGAAACATATTTCAATAATTTAAAACAAATATATAAAAAGAACATTCATTCGGTAAATAAATGTTATTCTGTAAGGATAGTTTGTATTTTCAAGCATGTATAATATGTATATACTGTATACTGAGAAGTGTATATTCATGAAATTAATAATTTAATAAATTACGAATAAAAGTGTAACAGTTTTTACACATTTCTAGAGATTTAAATATAGTGCCATACATTGCAAATTCATAAATGATATTTATTCTTTGATTTTCTGCCTGTAGATCTATCAAGGTCAATAAATTGGAATAACGAATAAATGAATGATTTTTCAGATCTGTAGAAAAAGATTGTTTTTCAAAATCTTTATCACGAAACGTGTTTATGCATTTATGCATTACATATATTCATCAGCACGTTTTACTCTTGCGATATACCAATTGCATATTGGACAACAACATAGTGACATCATCAATGATATATTCAATTGCGTCACTACCAGTCGAATATCTTGTTCAAGGATGCGACGAACTGTAATAATTGCCGTCGAGTAAGTAATCGAATCGTAATTTTCCAGTATAAATATAATATAAGATCTCAAAATTATACGATGTTGACGTTTTGCAAATGAGCAATTGCTTATTTCACAATATTTGATGCTTTATTCACAAACAAAAAATGAAGGTTATTTCACAATTGAAATCTCAGTCAACAGGTCGACTATTGGCTTTCTAGATTCTTCTCTTAAGTCTTGTGTCCATGATGTTAGAACAGTTTTTACGGAAAACCGACAAGTTGATTGGCTACACATTTCTCGATCCGAGAACTCGGATCGAGTTCTAGCAAGTTCTAGCATCATGGACACAAGGCTTAAGAGAAGAATCTAAAAAGAGTCAATAGTGTCGACCTATTGACTGAGATTTCAGTTGTGAAATAACTTTCATTTTTTGTTTGTGAATAAAGCATCAAATATTGTGAAATAAGCAATTGCTCATTTGCAAAACGTCAACATCGTATAATTTTGAGGTCTTATATTAAATCGAACAAGGCTTAACAGATGTACACGTGATCGGACCCTGATCCTGCGAACTCATTTAAATTTCATCGAAAATTTTGAAAAGTAGTTTTCTCTCATAAATTTTCGACATTCAATTATAGACATTTTTTTATTTCAATTTTACAAATTAGAATTTTGTTAAATAAAGTTTGTTGAAATAGAATCCATTGCCTTTATATATGCATTCCTAAAACTTACAAAACTTGTAAATAATTAGACCTTAAAGAATATCAATGTTGTAATGTTCTTGTTTAAAAAAAAAAATTTATTCTACATCCCTTAAAAGGAATGAATAAATATTGATATGACATGAGAAATGCTTTATATTAAATATAAGTTTGCATCGATTTGTTTAATTTAAAAATTGCATCTTTTATTATAGTGAAACTTTTAATTGGATTTAGACGAACAGGATTTAACGACCGATGATGTAACGTTAGTTTGTTCACCCGCAAAAAGTACGTGAACAGCATTATCCCATCGCTACTCTCTAGTTTTCCGGGGTAGCCCGAGCAAGCGTCATCGATCCACAACCCTCTCGCTATGCTCTACAATTGCTTTTATTTTGCTCGATGCAACCCACGTTCTAAAATGTTGATTCCGAATTCGAAAACAGAAATGCAGAAATATTCTACATATTATTATATTCAGCTGCTCACGCGTTTCATCTAGTGATAAAAAAATGTTTTACCATGAGATTTTGCTACATGTCGATATTTTTCGTTCTCTAATAGTATATTAAAAGAAGTTCAAATCTGTCTCTAAAGCAGCGAAATTAAATAATTACTTAACATAGAGGAATTAGAGTAACTGCGTTAAATTTTTTCTCAACTTTATAATCGCGATCAAACGTTCAAATCTTAATCAAATTTTAATTGATATCACAATGCAAGTATTCTGTTTACGCGTTATCGATCAGATCTACATCGATCTTCACGTGTAAGCAAAACGCACGATTAATTATTTGACGACACACATGTCCTCAAATTTTGCCGATGAATCATTATTTATAGCTTTCGATTACATTTTTTATAGTGCAAACAAGCACATACTTGAAATTGATATTACAGATTTCGCTTAGCAATTGTGTTAATTTTAACTCATTTAAAACTAAAATTATATTCTATATTTATAATATGATTATAATAAGCTTCGTAACAAACGAAAGATCTCATAACTAAAAAAGATTAAATAATTTTACGAAAATAAATAATCAAAGATTACTGAAGCATTCTTTAAAATTTTTTTTTAAGATTATGTACCGCGTGTAAGTTTTCTTCCAGAGTTAATATTTAAATTTTAAATATAACTTTTTTCCCTTCACACACATAAGTACACATACAGTTAACATTGAGAGATGTCTAATTATTAATAAATTCGTCACCACTATAACATATATATTAAAAGACTATGTATACATAATTATTTTATTAAATAAAAATTCAGATTCCGGACTCACATAAAGCTTATTATTATTAATTTCAAATGTTTTTTCTTGCAATATATTATAATTTAATTGTACGTAAAAATTATTTTAAAAAGCATTTGAGATTAATAATAATATAAATAAATAAAGTTTTGTGTAAATATCCGGACATAGGTATATGTCCGATCACTGGGACATTTACCTTACATATGTAAGGAAAAGAATGTATCTTTCCTACTGTTGCTTTCATACTGTTTACATCTATAACGTGCTTATGTATGTAAATAAACCCAAAATAAAATCGCAGCGCTTTTAACTTCATTACAAGTATAATTTTACGTATTAATTCGATTAATTTTTATTGATAATTATTCCTACACAGATTCCCTTGAATTCTTTAAAAAAAACTGTGAATTCCTGACGTACAAAAATCTACGGATCGATAAGTCAAATCTACGCAGAATCCGTAAAACGACGCAGACTCTGTTCACGTCACTCGCGGTAATAGTAACTACCACGTGGTGGTGTAACGTATCGAGAGACTCGTAATGTAAAAACCTGAACATTATAATTAAAAAATCCGAAAATCCACTGAAAATTGGAAAGTACTTGTTAGAATAAATTTTTGGAATTTACTCGTTTGAATAAATTTTTGTCGAATATTACATAAATAAATATATTATTCCCTACCTAAACGTCTGTTTAAGGAATAATATTAAGGAAGAATATATATCTATTGTTTCTGTGAATTACGTATTAATTAACATCGGAATTGAATATGGCATAACCATAACAAATAAATATTTCAATAGACAACGATTGTTTTAAGATTATTTTATCTGAAAATAAAAAATAATGTAGCAATTATTATTTTTTAAAATGACCGCCTTTGTCTTTAATAAAGAGAACAAAACAACACATACGGCACTGCAATTATCACAATTTAATCATTTGTATATATTTTTAGAATAATTAAGGAAATAAAACGTTGTTATTTCCTAAATTAATTATTTTTCCCACTAATAAGTATACTGCATCAGCGTTTTATTGCACTATTCACGATCAATCAATTGGATTCTTCCTACGAAGACAGGACGAATCTATTCTGCGACGTGTAGGATCTACCAGGCACATGGGATTACTCACCGATATTAACAAGCCTGATGCCTTCGTCCTCCAAAAACTTAAGAGCGACGGACACGTTCTCCAGCTTCTGAGAACGAAAGGTGGGCCGCTGGTTGTGTTTCGGCAGCCGCTTTTGCGAGAGCACCTCGATGAGACTCACCAACTGGAGACCGTCAGACAGATCGCATTCCAGGTCGCCGATGTGCTTGTTCGCTACCTTCAATCGCTCGTTCGCCCATCTCGTGAAGGTGTTCTGTTGAATTCGCTTCCACTGCGCGTCCTCGGCCAGCTCGCGCTCGAACATCTCGTCCTCCTCCTCCTCGCCAGCGGAGTTCTCGCACTTAACTGACTTATCATTCTCATTCATTTTATCGGCTGGTCCGCTGCTACGCTCTCACGGATAAGGGTAGTGGGGTGTGAGCCCCTGTGTGAGTGCCTAAGGATCACAAGTGTTGGTAGTTACGAGTGCTGTCGGTGACGTAGACAAAACGTAACTGTGTTGGTGACTCGAGAAGTAGCGATGGGCACAAACTAGAAATCAAGATTTGGAACGTGTATTGGGAAACTCGGATATTCGAGAATACATGTACACACTAAAAAAAATATTTAATTTTTAAATATTAAAATGTTTTAATGTTGTCTTCATTTTTTAAACACTTAAAGATGTTTTAGTATTAAACTTTTTTAATAAGCAAAAACACTGTGTTCAAATTTAAAACTTCAAAAATTTTCAATCCAAATACATAGTGTTTTGTTTATTGAAAAAATTTAAAACTAAAACTCTTTAAGTGTTTAAAAAATAGAGATAAGAATAAAACACTTTAATATCTTAAAATTAAACGCTTCTTTTTTGAGTGCACGTGTAATTATAATATATCCGTGTTTCAATCCGTGTGATTTTTAATGCAAGTATACACATGCTTTTGTGAGTACACGTGCATCGAAATTTACGCTGTAACCTGTACTTAAATATGCGGATACCTTGTTGTACACTAATAATAATCACATGAAATAAAATATGAATTTATTACGTTACACGTGCATCCATACACTTCAATACATGTATAATCCTATATTGAAATACACGGATAAACGTGCTTTTTAAGCCTTCCTGCTTGGAAATGGAATACCTTATATTCTTATACCATGTGGAGTTAATTTCCCAGAGTAAAGCGGCATCTAAGTGAAATTTTAGAGCGATTTAAACTTTAAGCGTTAATGTCTTCTGCACACTGGATGTGATGAGCGACGAGCGACGAGCGATATCCAATGAAAGCTCTATTTTTTTTCACGTGACGATGTAAAGCAGAGCTCTCATTGGATATCGCTCGTCGTTCATCGCGTTCAATAGGCATAAGCCATAAGAAATTGATTACAGTCAAATGCCATGTGAGAAGAAAAATCGACTGTGATTGGTCAATTTTTTACTCTCACGTATTACATAAAGCTTACTCCGCTTATTGTAGACCAGACCTAAGGCTTAAAGTTTAATTTTTATACTTTAAAATTTCATTGTAAACGCCGCTTAAGATTATTCATCGTTATTTTGATATTAAAATCTTTGATGTCAAAAAATTACGATAAGTAAAATTAATTTACTACCTGGTTTATTTATTGATATATCAATCAACTTTCGGATTCACGTGCGAATTTAATTTAGATTTTTGAATTTATTTTGATTGTGCAATGAATATTCAAATGAAATTTGATAACTCATTAGTTTTTAATTTCATTTCATTATTATTGTTAATTAAATCAATTCGAAAACATGTAGATTCATTATTTTTTGAAAATTGAAATAAGCGATAAAATTTATAATAGATGATAAACCTTCTAATTTATATGTATAAGTACAACAACAGAAGTCTATTTAACTGTTATATAACATTATTAACTTTATACGTCAGAGAAATATTGTTTTAATCGTTTACCGAACATTTTAAGGAAAAATGTTATTTCATACAAGTGATTAATTTTATTAAACTATGAATAGCAATCTCAATTGAATTCTTCAACTTTTTTAGATAAATAATCACACAAAAATTTAAACATATTTACATTTTTACTTAAAATTTACGTAAAAAGATATAAAAATAAAATATGAATAAATATACTTTCCACCACTTATTGATATTTTTCCATTTATGTATCTATTTGAAAATTGGTAACAGACATCGAAGTTGCTCGAAGGAGTATTGTGACCATCACTAGCACGAGCACGCACACGTGCGCAGAAGAAGAGGTGGACGTTGGTGAACTTACCTGCACGGCCGTACGTGTGCCGGCCAATCGAACGCACCTTCCTTAGTATGGGTGCGTGTGTGCGCGTGTGTGTGGGATGCTGACAAGAGATCAGCTGGAGCAACTCCGTTTCTGTTGATGAGTCGTCGGTATATATTCACCACCGGAGATCACGCTTCAAATTACTCAGGATGCGTTTGTCGAGAGGCTTTCTTTGATAGCGTCGTCTCCTTGAAGGGTCTTTTCAGTCGCTCGTCCTGATTCACAGCGACGATTCACCTGCATAATAAAATATCGTAATTAAAAAATTGACGACGTTCAAATTGATCGAATGTGGCATAAGACGCTTCGGCGTAAAATAAAATCGAAATTTATAATCTTTTTGTATATGTCTAATAGTAATTTATAATAAAACCTCGCAATCGAGAATCGTGACTTATTTATAAAAAAGAAAAATGAGACTTGGAATTACTTTTGAACTGGAGAAAACTGTTTAAAGAGTATATTGTAGAGATACAAATTTAAATAGTAGAAAACGATATATAATTTTTTTATTCATAAAATTTTTTGTTTCCGCAATTGATTGACTCAATCCGACAAAGGTGCACGGAATCAATCAGTTTCATTTGAGTGAAGATTCGCGCACGTGTTCGACCAAGCTGTCCAGCCTCAACACGAATTACGCGTTTGGCCTATCCATAAATAAAGTACCTAATTATAAATAGCAACACATTCCGGGGAAATGGCCCGTGTATTTTTTTTATTTACGCACGCTCTTCTATATTTATTATTAGTATATTTAAATGTATTTCTTATTAGAAAGTATTCAGATTTAGATCTCGATGTGAGTAAGAGAAGAGAAAATTATCTTAAATTATTAAGACATCCATTTAGGAGAAATAAATCTGCTTTAAAGTTATATCATCGTCTTTTATGATCGCATCGGTCGGATTTTCCGCGCATAATAGAAAATTAATCGGACGCACGTTAAATTACGAATCTCGGCGCACGGCGAGATGCCAAGTTATTTTTAGTACACGCACGTATACGTGACTTTTTTCCAAGGTCTGATATTACATCCAAAAGATGAACCTTATAAGCGCAAACATTGTTGTCTGCGAACAATGAATGGACAACATGATTAGAGTTATCTTTTTACACAGAGGTGGCTTAGTTTACACAGCATTAAAATACATTTGCGCGCGTATAACTTAATAATAAATTCGGTAATATATAACATAATACGTTTCGTACTTTAATATCTCAAAGTTGCAATGCAATAAGAAATGCTTCATTTCCTGGACGAAGTAAACATTTTTGTGTAGAATAAGAATCATGTTTTTATATAATTGTCTAGAGTTCTCCGATATTTCTTATTTTTAAAATATTATTATATTATAAAATAAATAATATAATATCTACTATATTATTAACGGAATTCACGATGTTACGCATATAATATATTAATATGATAGGTATATTGCTATCTAAAATTATCTGTGAAAGTTATTACGAGACGACGTGATGATGCTAAAATACGATTTTTTTTTATCACAACACTCCAAAGTCAAGAAGGAAATTCGAGATATATCATTTCACTTGAACATAAATTGATCAAGTTGTCATCGAATTAAGAGATTTTTATATTTATTCTTTCATTAAATACGATTCGCATTAATTCTTGTAACAAATTATAGAAATAATATGCAAATAAATGTAAAGAATTGGTCTTATATATCTCTAATAAAAATAAAATTAATTTATGTTAATATATATTTATATAAAATTGTTTGTTATAATATTAAATCGAGATTTTTCAATATATGAATTAATTAAAGAAATTATTTCAATAATAATTAAAATGATTACATTGCTTTAACGTGTTATTCATAATAAACTCGGTTTTCTTTATTATATTTACAAACTATTTCAAAATTTACACAGAATGGAAGTATTTCTCCGATGAATTTACGATATTGCGAGATAATCGGAAAACGATCACATCACACACAAATATATTCGTTTAGCAGAAAGTATTTTTTATTTCGTACGAGATCGACTAACTCTATCAGTGCTCCACGAAAAACTGCCGAGGAATCGCGCAGGTTTCTCTCATTTCGTTTAAAACTCTCTCTGCGCTAATTCTCTCCAAAAGCATATACCAGCGAATTGCGAAATGCGACAAATAAATTGGGAGCGAGTCGCGAATGAATCGTAAAGTAGTCACATGAGAGAATTACACGTAAACCTTCAAAGTTAGCCAATTTCACTGTAAAAACAGTAAAACATTAGAATTTGGACTTTCGCGATAAAGAAAACACTCTTCTACATCTAACAAGATTATTTTATCTAGAACCATTGAGAAACAAAAAGTGACTTATGTATATTGTACTTATAATCAATGCACGTGCACCATACTTGATTTAAATCAATGTTTGACCGGTGAGTTTGAAGGAAAACACTTCGTGCCTAGCGAGGTGCTACTGCTATTAACAATGAAATCAAGTTAAATTAACAAACTTGATAAATTGATTTATGTGACTGCCCATCTCTCTTCAAATCGCAACACAATACACCTATAAAATATAATAATGTAATGACAAATTTTATAATAAAGAATTGAATTCTTTCTAATAAAAGTTTACTATGCGTTTTAATTATATGGACAATTATATGGAAAGAAATCTCATTAATTAAGTTTAAGAAACGCATTAAGTTTTACGAGTATGAAGAGATAACGAGTTCTCTTTCTGTTGTAAAAATTTAATTTATTTTAACAAGAGGTTTTATTTTATTTTATTTTAACAAGAGGTTTTATTTCGATGAAAACTCGCAATAAATAACAATCTCACAGATATTCACTTAAACAGAGCAAATTAATATACAAATTAATATATATTTAGAAACATTTTGTTTTAAAAGATGGTGGATTTACTTCGATATCTTGAAATGAGAATAGCTGATGATCGTTTTCAGATTAAACTCTTTTTTCAGTATACAGTTTACGTTATATACATATGTATATGTATATACTATAAAATCTCAGAAATAATCGCGGGCATTTATCGATAAAAGTGTAAATTGCCCTGTCTTGATGTCCCGTTTTTCACTTTCGCAGCTAACCGATCGTTCAAAAATTAATCGTAATCGGAGCAATAATCAAGACCGAATGCCGGCGCGAATCTTACATGCACACGAGGCGACGATCTTTTTGGATCGGATCGATCGACGCGGCGCTCTCGATCGGCACCACGGCGCGGTTCGCAGGCGATTACTGATGTTCACGACGTCCGCGAACCGGGAGTCGAATACACGTCGAAAGAAGTTAGGCCGGATACACACGATCAAGTAAACTTGCACAAGCGGCTTGCGCAAGCATACTTGACAAGTTTACTTGAATCCCAGTGAACACAAAATTATATGTAACGTACCTGTTAGTTGTAATTTTCCACCCAACAATATAACTGTAATATAACACGTGTGTTATATCTTGTTGAGTAGGAAATTACAATTAACAGGTACGTTACATGTGACTTGTGTTCACCGGGACGTGTGAAGCCGGCCTTACCCGGATCCGTAAAGTTATCCGAGAATAGTACGTGCTCCCTCGTTGCCCCCTTGGCCGAGGGGTAGGGGGTCGGTCTATATATATACGCACACGCATATATCCGGGGGGAGGCCTCCCCCCGCGTCTCGACGCCGCTGACGCCCACTCTCCCTCTTGGGAAACATAGACGCGTGCGAGAAGGATCGGGTTTAAATTCGTATACGAGGGAAACAAAACGAAACGAGTTGGTTACTCGCTGGCTGACACTGAAGGGAAAACTTAGACGGTCATTGTTACATGCCACGCACCATGCGTGATATTAAGTTCTTTCGTCACTCGAAGGAACCTCTCCCCTATAATGCGATAGTGGTTTTAGCGGTTGTCTCGGAGTTCCTTTCTGGAGAAACGAGCGGTGCTTCAGCACGAAACTAAACGCGAACTTTAACACGACAAATTATTCCTCTATATTATTTTAATTAATTTATTCAGAAACTTTTGCCATTTGTCAATCCTGGCGGAAAAATTTTTATGAAAAATTGCATAGATTGAGACAGATCTTAGAAATTCTTAGTTTTTCATAGATATTCATGGGACGTAGAATGGCGTTGTTTATTTGAAAAACCAAGAAATCCTTCGCCTTCAAACAACGCCACTCTACGTCCCACTACGAATATCTACGAAAAATAAAAAATTTTTAAGATAAACAACCCTCACTTTACGTTCCACTATACGAATATCTACGAAAAATTAAGATCTTTGTCTCAATCTATAGTAGTTTTAAAATTAAAACAATAATAAACTCGGACTCTCTCTCTCTCTCTCTCTCTCTCTCTCTCTCTCAAAAATTTCACAAAAACGTATGAATATTTTAAAAATAAACGGACAAGTGTGACCATATAATTTTTCTGCCTTTTCGTAAAAATTTTTTTCCGCCAGGAAAACAACGCGATATCTCGAAAAACATTCAAACGATTGAAAAAAATTTAAATGTCTGCCAGATAAATGTTACCCGAGATAAACACGTGAAAATTGATACTAATCGAGAATTATATTTATCCTCTTTTAAAATGCCGACATGTTTAGGAAACGAGAAGCGGAATGATTATTCAGAATATAAAAAAAAATAAAATATCCCTTTATACTTCACAGGGTGGTCACAAATTCCTTTTTCAAAAATTCTATTCTGATTTCCAGACAAAATTTCAGATTTTTTCCTGCTTTCAATATTTTGCAATATAAATACATTTTGAATATTTTTACATATTTTGTAACAGATTTATTGTCAAATTAGATTAAAGATGATAAGTTTTCAATTTAACAGTTGGCAACACTTAAATTTAATTGGCGAATCAAGTATCTAACGTTGATGAGAAACCAACCCTTTAACTTCTTCATAGCCAAGAATTTTAATTTTTCAGAAAATTTTGCAAAATTCCCTAACTTTTCCCTGACTGTTTTCAATTTCTCTGACATTTCCCTGATTTCCCTGATGCTAACAGAGAGTACTTACCCTCTTTTAAGACAAGTTTAGAAAACGAGAAGTGATGAAAAATGATTAATCAAAGTAGAAAAAGATTTATTTTTAAAGCAAGATATCCCTTTACACTCCCCTACCTCTCTTTTTTCCGATTTA